GAGCGAGAGGTACAATGTCAGTACCCGAGGGCCTTGGACCTATTACCGTAGTTCCTCCAACAAGCACAAGGAGTGATCTTCGTTTAACAGCTTTTATTCCAACTTTGTGTTGCCGGTCAACCCACTCTAATTGTCACTTAATTATGAGACTTCGGCCGCAAAGCTTCAGTCTCAATCAAAATGCTGGTGCCTAGGTTTGGTTTCTGGTTCGAAAGATCATGACAACAAGCTGAGAGCGGAGCACCAGTCCAGATGTAGTCTCCCCCAGCCGCAGCCGCTACCTAGCCGCTCTCTAACCGTTGTCTAGCCGTTCTCTCTTCGTTCTTAGCCGTTCTTCTATTTGGGGCTTTTGCCCCTTTTTAAACCGGCACCTACGTCACAGCTCTACTCATTTTTCCATCTATCATTGGTCAGCCACCTTTCCCCCCTACACTAGATCATTCTAACCCACTCTTATCTAATAACCAGCACCTTATTCGGACTTGCCATGATGTAGCTTCTCACCCTTTTGGAATTCGAACTATTCCCCCCAATACCATATATGTCTCAAGACCCTGACGTTTCCGTCCCTCTCATCTCTGTTCCACTTGTTTTTCATTAATGTATAGCCCTCGACCTCCTACCCTCACCCCTGGTTACTCGTGGCCAAGTATGCTCCCGTAGTCTTCAACTATCAGAGCTGCCCGTCTCCTACATATATATATCAATGTGTTATGTTTACATCTTACTGGTTTCAACTCCTCTTCTTGACCTTTATATACAATCACGTAGGTGTCCTAATGAATTGTTAATTACTTTAATTAGTTGTTAATTACTGTACTTTTATGCCTATAATAACTATAGTCACTTAGGTGGGATGGTTGGTTGGTTGTTTTTTGTTTAACGCCGCAATCAGCGATATTCCAGCTATATGACGGCGGTCTGTAAATAATCGAGTCTGGACCAAACAATCCTGTGATTGACATCATGAGCATCGATCCACACAATTGGGATGGATGACATGCATCAACCAAGTCAGAGAGCCTGACCACCCGATCCCGTTAGTCGCCTTTTACGACAAGCATAGTCACCTTTTACGGCAAACAAGGGCTGCTGAAGACCTATTCTACCCCGGAATCTTCACGGGGCGTCACTTAGGTATGTGTCAATACCTTAAAATACATACAACAAGGCATCAATACTCGGATTTACATTTTACTGAGTGGGACTCTTTATACTTTAATCATAGGTTGTTTTAGGTTGTTGTTGTTTTTACAGTGGCTTATCGTTATTACAATCAATATATACTACTCAAAAGAAGTTAAGGATCACCCGATTCTTTCATATTGGTAATGTTAATCTGTCATGGCATGAGAGATTAACTATTGTAATATGACAGAATCAGGTGATCCTTAACTTCTTTTGAGTAGTATATGTATGTAATTACATTTGAAATCAATGCATAACTTAAAACTCTATCCTCTAAAATACAATTCTATATGAAACAAATAAATATAAAAAAATTACGCCAACCAGAGTAGAAGTCTCCCACAACGTTAGTCCATGCCCTAAATGAACATACTGATTCTGGCTGACTGTACAAATTATTACCCTGCCCCGCTATTTAAACTGACCCCAAAGTCCAAGCTACCCCTGACCTCCCTGTTGTCAGTCCAATAACTCCCCAGCTATCAGCCGTACCCGGTCACGCTTCCCTGAACCTAACCTGTTCCCATAGTATTACCTGACAGTATCTAAAAACAACCCACCAAGCTTAATATACAAATTTAACTATACCAGAATACATCTATCTAAAGTACTAACATATAATTAATATATACAAGATTATATGTGATCTTGAAAACGGTATTAAATACATCAGCGATATTGAAACATGTCCACAATATTTCAAGAAGTTTTCAAACCAATAGTAATAAACACACCATGTCAACATGATAGAAAACTATAAAATGTTTTTGTTATTATTGAATTATTAACATGGTATAGAATTTATGCATATATTATCAATATAAGTTGCTTCTCATATATTCATCCCTCCAGATTGAATATCAAAAATACATATTTAAATGGAATGATATTTATGTAATGTTTTGTTTTGTGAGACTAATAAATGACACTTGTTTTTCATTTCAGAATCTATCTGCACCTCATTAACAAGAGGTTCACGTTTCAGATTTGCAGAAATAGTTGAAGAATCAGAAACAAGTTCTTCCATCTTGTGTTGTCGAGGTGATTCGTGAACGATTTCCATCTGATGTATGCACTGTTTTTCTCTATGCTCACTAATATAAACCTTTTTCATTGAAATCTTGTTTTATTGTCTCTGACAACAATCAACCTTCGATGTTCCTTTTCATAAGCTTCTGTAATACAGGGTGGCTAATGCTGGATGAGGGAGTTGTTGGCAAGGGCGAAGACCGGGGGAAAATAGCACAAGCACTGGCTAAATGCTTAGTGGCAACTTGTTTGTGCATTGGTTGACTATTGCAAAAGTACAGTTCTCTTGGTGTCAGAAGCCCTGTACCACACACACACACACACACACACACACACACACACACACACACACACACATTTTATGGCTTGTAGCTCTGCATGAAAATAAACACAATTTGCGCACAATGAAAACGGATCTCAACACCAAGAATTTCTTCTGCCACCAGTGAGGCAGGATACTTGTACTTTCACCTTTGATAGTGATTCATTAACACATGCTCATGATATTGTCAGAATCGTACAATCGACTGTTTTTGAAAGAGATTTCTTATGAATATGGAAAGGGTTTGGTCGCTTATATTTTCTTCCATATCATCATTGAGGGACCTGAAAAATAAAACTTTTTTTTATAAATTTGTCAAAATAACATGTACACTGACTAAGTAATTGTAAAAGTAGGTGGTAATAGTCATCAGCTGAGTAAGGCATGTCGTGCTTACTTTCGGCCTCACTGTGTGCCTGAATACACATGTCATCAGTTTACAATGCACTAATTGTATAAGAGCTAAACTTTTACATGTCATCTACACTATACTTTTTATGTCATCCACATTACATTTTTACATCAACAGACACTCATGTTACAATATAGAATATAATAGATATACAAAATAGGTCAATACAGAAATTCTTTGCATATTGTATTTACATTGTGTGATTATTTATTGTCAGAATATTATTTTGTACCTCATACTGTGAAGCACGGTGTCCCATGTTTCTGGCGTACACTCGACAGTGACTGTACACCATGACGTACCGAGACTCTTTTGGGTACCTGTACTTTCTGGGCATCAGTGTCTGGTATGACTTGCTTCGACATTACATATTTGAAAGATACAACATAGAAACATAGACACTTTTGTCATCTATTTCTCAACATCACAAAATTAAAAAAATAATAACTTGATTTATTTCATGTATCAATGTCTGTAAATTGCATCAAACATGAAATATAAGGACCAACAATTCGATATTCTAGGGTGGTGGGCGGGCTGGGATTTTGTATAGACACATGAAATTTTGTCACCTACAAACCAGCAAAAACAGATATATATATATATATTTTCTTTTTCTTTTTTTTCTTTTTTTAAATCATACGCCTAAAAAAAAATATAAGCCTTAATATAATAAAATTAAACAACATGTTGCAACACTGTATTTTTGTGGCTTTTTGCTTCAACAGTCTGAAGCATAATAACTTTACATGATTATTTAAAGATTACGAGCCATCCCCATCCCCCAGGATATCAATGAGTTTATATAATCTATTTTACTGTATCATTATGAAGTTTTTTAATGACCGATATGAGTTGATTTGTGTCAATTCCAGACGAGAATGGCTGTAAAACTAAAAAAAACTATGGAAATTACATAACACACAACTTACTCCACCAACATGAATTAGCTGTATACTGCAATGATCAGCTGATCACGGAGTATCGACATAACCATGCAGGAGGTGAACATGTGAACGAGACACAATCGCGGATATTCATCAACTGAAACTATGAACAAATATTACCATATTCCTCCTAAAACACATTTCTTAAATACTACTATGGTTAGATTTTATCTGTTTAATAACCATACAGCAAACTTACCTGAGTTACTTCAACTTTACAGAGTTTGTTTACAAAAACAGCCCAGTCAGGGTCTTGATGAGAGTGTTGTCCCTTTAGCCCGTTTCCATATAAGGATCGTACACCCGCTTCCGATCAGTTTCAGAACCAGCAGGTATTATCTCTCAAAAACGACAGCAACTCAGCCAATGTCAATATTCGCAACACAAATGAACGAATAAGCGCAATTTATGAAACGGACCCTTTCAACCATCATCGCGAATCTTACAGTACGTTATCCATGCATTGTTGTCTTGTCAGTCGCGATTTTGGAAAACAAAATAATTTTAGAGTAATTGTGTTTAGTGGTGTATTTTGAACAGCTGGAATCACACACCTGCACTGACACCACGTGAAACGGGTCTAATAAAGTTTTATGACGTCATTCCTTTATCAATTGGCACCAATGACGTCATATTGCAAGGGGCATAAGCCATGGTATGTTTGTTATTGAAATAGAACTCTGGTAAATGTGAAACATATGAACCGATTTGATTAATAAAATAAATTATATACTTGTGATATTTATATTGTCTGGGCTATAAAACTACTAGGTAAATACTTTTCATGATGAAAAAGTTCAACAAAATAGTTTTATTTTCGTGTGAAATTGCCCTTTAAATAGTAATGATTACATCAAAATAAATAAATTATTTCTTAAAAAGTTGTTTTTTAATGCAGATTTGGTAGTATTGTTGAAATGTACTTATAACTTGCGATATACGATTATATATCATCCCCAGTTCTAGGCCTATTTTTTTTATTAATTTTGGTCAAATCAGCCATATTTCATCGTCGTTTGTAATTGATCGTTTCATTACTCAAAGTCTTTTTTCTAATTTAAAACATTTTTCACTTACACATTGAGCAAAGTCTGTTTTACAGTGAGAAGTATGAAAACAGAGGATACAAGTTCCATTCGAGTTCCAATGGAGGAGAGAACTAAGGAAGAGAGACGTGGAGACAAATCTGATGACCTGTGCTACAGAGACTCTCACCACCAGAGGGCTACATGGAGTTCACGTCTTGAGTACATCCTCTCCCTTGTCGGGTGTTGTGTAGGATTCGGTAACCTGTGGAGGTTCCCGTACGTCTGCAATAGAAATGGAGCAGGTATATATAATAATACAGACATTAATACTGGCTCACTTTCCACCTTCAGTGATTAAGCGCAGTTTGTGGATTTGATAGATTGGTTGGTCAGACTGGGACTTTGTTGATAGCGTTCCCTGCACACATCGTTGATCATGTTTTTAGACCATAATGCGTCATCATATATTTGTATATGATCAAGAATGCACACTTTCATTGGAAATGCCTTGTCGCAATAACAAAACAATCCGCAATTTAAGCTTCCTTTCGATGTACAAAAGTGCCTTCATTCACATCGTGGATGCTGTGATGCAGACATTTGGTGACTAAACTAATCCACAGGTGCCTTCTTGCTGCCGTTTCTACTCTGCCTTCTAATCATTGGGTTCCCAATGTTCTTCCTGGAGGCTTCGCTGTCTCAGTTCTCGGGAAGGGCAACTCCGCGTGTATGGAGTTTCTGTCCTATGTTCAAAGGTTGGTGAAATGTAATGTCAGGGACATATTCGTTGCCCCAAAAAATCGAAACCTGGAATCATGGGAGGTCAAACCAGATATCTTCCTGAATTTTAAAAAGGCGCGTCTCAAAGACACAAAGCCTAACGACACTTTGCAGTCTAATGTAACCCTTTCCAATACGAAGCAGACCATATCTGGTTATATTCTTGAGATCTTATTCATTTCGCAAATTAGCAGTAAATCCATACATGACACATTTGGAACTAGCATTCATTCGATATCCTTCAGTAGTTGGAAACAGAGCTTTTGTCCGCCAGTGGATATTAGGAGCAACAACCATTAAGGGATCAAGGTGACCCTAGCTTGTCCACAATCAAAGAAATCAGGTGAGGTGAGGTGAAATGAGGTTTAACGTCGCGTCCAAGATTATTGCACTTATATAGCGACGTGCATGTACGTGTGTGTGTTTGTGTGGCTGTTTGTACTAGTCCGGACTGATGCCGATTTATAGTGCTAGCTCACTGAGATACCATGCCTCAGTTTAACATGAATACCCCACTCAGACACAGTATACTGACTCCGAGCCGACCAGTCCTTGTTTTAGCCCCTCAATGCCGAGCGCCAGACAGGGTAACAACAAGTACCATCTTTTAACGGTTTTTTGGTATGACGCGGTCGGGGTCCAACCCCGGACCTTCCGCTCTCCGGGCGGACGCTCTACCACTAGACCACGGAGGCGGTCCAAAGAAATCAGTGATTTCACGTTCATTACAAGATGCATCGTGTTCCAAAATGAAATTCTTAACTTAATGTTTGTACCGCTAAATGCTAAATGTGTGAAGTATTGTAACAAGGCATTAACGTTTTAATGCTTCTGAGTATATTTAAGTTATATTCCACGTTCTTTTTCGCCCTGGGATGAAAGATGCAAAAAGTGCGAAACAAAAAAGTCAAAATAGGGAATTGCATTATACATCTTTTTGGTCATAAATATAAGACGTCAACGCCAGAGAACATGCAGTCACAATTATACCCTGAAACATATTCCATTTGGTGTAAAAGGCAAAATAGCAATGACAATAATATGAATGGACCGTTCAGACTCTATTGCATACGAGGCTAAGGGGTCTGTCACCATGACCTGTTCATGCCACACCGTCTTCTTAAATGAATACCCCACTCTACGCCACATAATAAAAGTGTGACAAATACAATTTGGCTGACTGTTGTGTTTATTGCCTCCAAGAAAATATACATACATTTTGCCTAAAGCTCAGTCAAGTTCTTCTGAACCATTTGTCATTCAAACAGGAGTTGGTGTTGGTGCCTTGGTGATGCATGTTATCTGCATCTCTTCCTACAACATCCTCCTGGCCTGGCCCATCTACTACATGGTGAAGTCCTGCTCCAGCGTCCTACCCTGGACAACTTGTGGCAACAGCTGGAACACCGACCTGTGTGTGGAAGACTTGAGGAACGCCACCTACATCAACATCACTTCGACAACTCTGGATGATAACATGACTGCTACTGTCAAACAGCGTTGGGAAAATGTCACTCTAGCTCACACAGCGGCCGAGGAATTTTGGCAGTAAGTTTATCCCTGGGGACACAGTTAGAGTGGGTGAGTGAGTATGATTTAACGCCACTTTTAACATTATTCCAGTTATATCACGGCGTGTCGGCTTAATATGGAAGGAAAGCCCGAAGTGATGCAGGGTCTCAGACGTTTACCACTTCGGTGAAATCCACGAGCACGGGTATGGTGCTGACAAACCTAAAGTACTCATGGAAATGAAAAAAACCTGTTTTGCTGGATTTAATAATCGACACAAAGCATTACGTAGATGTAACTGCGAAATAACAAAACAACTGGAAAAGTACTAGTCTGGATTTGCTAGTTTTATCTCAGTGCTCAAAACAAAATGTACTTTACAGGAGGTAATTTGTAGGCACTTTCAACATTCAAAAATAAAACTAAGTCCAAATTGACATGGCAGAAACAGGCTATAGGCATTATGCAAATTAGCAATCAAAACAACAATAAAAATAACAGCTATGTTTATGTACATAATAATAATGACATGTAAGTTGTTGTTTGAGAAGGGAATATGTTACTTTTACGTTCTGATATTTTGACGATGATTCACTATCCCACAATGCCACTCACAAATCACTAACCACTGACAAATCACATGCACGTTGGTTTCAAGCACCTGTTTTCACCTGTCGTCAAGGTGTCATAGGTCATTGACATTCACCTTGATCTTCTAACACCTGGTTGTGCTCAGTTTCACAATAGTCTGTTTTGTTCATGTTTTTACACACTTTTACATAAAAACCTTTGATACGCTGTATATGTGCCAAGGCCCAATTAGTACTAATTGAGTTGTTTGAATATTTATAAATTTTGTATATTAACTGCATTTATTTAAAATTTGAGATCGAATTCCTCGGGCCCAACCTTGATGATTTACGGGTCGCCGTGATAGGGATGCGAATTCGTTGACTGCAGTGTGAAACAAAAATGTAAAATTACAATCATGTATTATGCTTTCTATTAATCATAATAACGCTCAAATAGGAGATAAGCCTACTGTGTTGTTTTACATTTTAGGTTGTGCAACGAAATTAGATACCTGTAATATTTTTATTTCCATTCTACAATGACGACAAAAGCGCTTTGAAAAAGGCACTCTCTTGGAACGCATATCTAAACTTCGGCAAACAGGCCAACAGAACCACCCTGAAAATGCCATTTTAGCAGAAGATGAGTCAGCATTTTAGCCAGGAGTGAGTCTGAGCGACTGCTAGATTTTGTGACCGATGATTGTGCTCAGGCCTATCGAGGCATGACCTATCCAGTGACATCTTACCGCCAGCATAGGCTGCTGGGGACCTGGAATCCCCATGGGAGCATGTGTTGATCTGTCAAGCTCAAACGGTGATCCTAGGTGTTCATGTTAGTCTTGCTGTTCCTACTGTTCTTGCAGGTACAACGTGCTGAGTGTGTCCCGTGGTTTAGAGGAGGTCGGCTCTGTCCAGGGCCACATAGTAGCTTGTCTCTTTGCTTCCTACGTCATCATATTTCTGTGTATGATTCGTGGGGTCAAGTCAGTGGGCAAGGTAAAAACGTGTTAAAATGTTATGAATAATAATGATGCAGAAAATGCTGAAGAGGGACAAGCTCGATGCATACTTGTCATCGTCAATAGATCAGGGTGCATTTGCAATAATATTTTCCAACTACACGAGAAAAGCAAAATCTAATGCTTGTTATGACTTATGTTCTAAACATCAGATTTTTGTTAACTGTTATTTTCTGCAGGCTGTGTACGTGACGGCAGGATTGCCGTATGTTCTCCTGATCATCATCTTCATCAGCACGGTGATGCAACCGGGAGCTGGGTCTGGCCTGTTATACTACGTCACACCGGACTTCCGGAAACTACTGGACGTGCAGGTGCGTGGCTGCTGTAAGAGATTCCCATGGACAGAGCTTTCTAGTAGAAATCCTGGACGTAAAGCTTTATGTAAGATCTTGGGGGGAAGGTCTTTGTCGTTGCTTCCTTGGGGTAGAACTTTGTATTGCAAACCTTGGGGTAGCTCTTTGTAATAGAATCCCGGGGCCTAGAGCTTTGTAATAGAAATGTGGGACAAGAGCTTTGTGATAGAATCGAGGGGGAATATGTTTGTAGTAGAATCCCGAGGGTAGTTTTTGTAGAATAATCATCCTGCTTTTTACAGCACCCTGTTTGTGAGAGCATGCATCTTTGACATGGTCGACGTTCGGATCGGTAACGTTGCTCACACTATCAACCAATTGTTTGTCAGGTCCATGATTGATTGTATATAAACCGCCTTGTTTTTGCTGGAAAATCGCCGACTAAGACATAAACAAATTTTCATTTGAGTTTTTATGCCATCATATATTATTCTCATTCATTTATTCACACTATGTTAAGCTTCTAACATTGAAGACAGCAGAGTAAGTCAAAGGATATGATTGATCAGTTATCATTATTATTATTATTATCATTATTATTATTATTATGGCAAGGTGTGGCTTGAGGCGTTTCTACAAGTGATGTATTCTCTGGGGCTAGGCTGGGGGACTATTGGCATGGCTTCCAGCTACAACAAGTTCCACGAGCCGTGTCTCAAGTGAGTCATGATTGTGGAGACATGAGCTCCTATCTTCAGAGGAAGATACCCAATCATTCAATTTACATAACGTTAGCAAGATTAATATGTGTACACCATGCCCATTCCCAGGCCTTTATTATTCAACATCTTCTCTGGACCATATGTTTAGTGCTATCGTTGTCTTGAAAACAATGTACAATTCTTGCGTTGTAGGTATTTGCATGTTCAAAATGGCATGTATGTAAATACAAGCGACAAAACCCTCTCCATGTTCATAAGATATCCCTGCCAAATTGATTTGACGAAATTAGGGAAAGTTGACTTTTAGAATGATGAATATAAAACGTCAATGCAAGAAAACAGCCAGTCTTGACTGTCCACCAAAACAGATTCCATTGTGCATAAAAGGCAAAACAGCACTGAAAACCACATGAAGTCATCCTCTCCTGTCATTGTCTCCTGGAGAGTGTTTTGTCACTCTATACTCTTTATGCATACATCTAAATATAAAACAGATGAGGCAGTTTCAACTATCACCTTTATTTCTAGTTCAGGTGGGTGAATCTGTGGAAGGGAATTGGCTATTATTTAACGATATCAGATCATCGATATACCTGACGGCTAAGTAAAGTTTCTTGACCAAATTCCCTTGTTTTGATTTTGCTAATCCGAGCAAAAATTCGTGGAAGTAAAGTCCATTCTACGATTTACTCTATGTCATGTGTTTATTAATTACAATCAAACAGTGACGATATCAGGTGTTCACGAATCGGTGAGCATGCCCTGCACACCAAGGTACATACAGGTAGAATAGGACATGTTTAAACTCCCTTTTTTTGCAAAAACATGGTCTCATCATTGATTTTCAGTTATCTATTCATATAATGTTCATCACTATTTTGCCTTTTGTGCACAATGGAATCTGTTTCCCCAGATAATCAAGACAGTGTTCTCTGGAGTTGACGTTTTGCATTCAACAAGATATTCCGATTCTGACTTTATAGATAGTGTATGTTCATACTTATATGTAAATAAAATCGACAAAACTCTTTACAGAATCATAAACAACAGAAACCCCACTGTACAATTTAGCCTATATAAATAGGATGTTTTTATGAATCACTATCAAATAGTGATGACACCAGGTGTTAACAGATCACATCAGTGGCACCAAAGACGTGAAATGTGTTCAGAAGAGTGCAGGGTACTTCAAGTCTGCGATGTGACAGATTTGGCGGAAGGGAAAGGAGTCAAAACGATCTGAAACAAATCTGAAAGAAGGATTTTCAGCTTTTAGCCCATTACGATGTAGTCAGTTTCCTCTGTGAACCTTATTTAAACCTCTTAGATGCACCCAGTGTTTGCTTATGATAGAAACAGTACGCATATGTAAGACAGAGCTCTCTTGCAATGGTATTATCAGCAACATCCCCTCCACCATATGAGGCTGACATAACGGTTCATACATATGACTATGATGTCACGTGCATGTATGATCATGGTATGCAACACTTCATTTGATTCCGTCGTATTCAACTTTTTATATCTTAGTTTTATTCAGGGTTAAGTGTAACCAAGAGTAACCAAGGTCACCAAGATGATGAAAATGTAACAGAAGATTGCATACATGAATTATTGTCGACTGAATTATTTCTGACAGAGACGCCATTATGGTGAGTACAATATCAGAAACTACAAGTATCTTTGCTGGCCTAGTGACGTTTGGTATCCTTGGAGTGATGTCAGAAAAGACTGGCGTCCATATTTCGGGCGTAATTTCCAGCGGTGAGTATGGTGCTTCCTTCATTTGTTTCTCAGTGAGACGCCTCACTCCCAGATCTAAAATGCAGGAGTAGGGTGATCTTATGATAATATTCAATCTCTGATATTATGTGGAGATATTTTTAAGTACTGGAATACTGTTAAATGCATAAAACCTATGTACTCAAGAGAAAAGGTTTACATAATACTATATATCTTTCGGGATGAAGGACCAGGGCTAGGTTTCGTCGCCTACCCAGAAGCTCTGGCACAACTTCCGGTGCCGCAGTTGTGGTCCTTCCTGTTCTTCCTGATGCTCCTGGCTGTCGGCCTGGATTCACAGGTAGGCGGCCTCTGTTTGCATTGAGGTATTTCACATTGATTCTTAAAGGAGCTAGCGTGTTGACAGTTTTGCACCAACAGTCATACATGAACGACAAAATTATTTCCGGAAAAGTCCGAGTCCATAGTATCATTGTCATAGGTACATTAATTAATACATAAAAATAGGAATTTGCATCGAACATCATCTTGGTCTCATGCGTTAACTTTGTGTATCATGAGAGAAGGTCATCACGCACATACAAGTAAGGGTATTTTAGCCAAGCAATTAACATCCACCGGAAGGGAAGAATACAGATGTTCAGATTAATGGTATTATGTTTGATTTCATTGAACTACTTGTGAAGGAGATCTTTGGCGTACACTCCTTTATTTAGTTGATTTAGTGCTTAAAGCGTGTATAAATAGACCCAATTACTTCTTTTACATGAGACACAATAGGATCGCATTTTGTCTTGATCCTATTTCCTCATAAAAGAGATTTAAAAAGTTATATGAATGTACACTGTTTCCTTTTAGTTTATGAACGTGGAGGTCATTTCCACAGCCATTGTCGACAAATATCCGAATGTTCTGTCACGAAAGCGTTGCCTAGTAACAGCCGGTATATGTGTGGTGTGCTTTTTAGCCGGAATCTTACTCTGCACCCAGGTAAGTTATTTATATGGCCCTTGCCTTATGTCTAGTTCCAAGTGTAACAGCTATTCTGTGAAGCCACTATGGATACAAGGATGTCATGTTGCATACAATATGAAAAGATATAAATGTTGTTCGAGTTCTGGCACTTGTTTGAACCTTTTAACGTGGTGCGTAGCACCAGAAACCACTATAAATGTTATTTTGAATACATAATTGAGGAATAAATATGTTATCAAGAGATTTAAACAATTTCACAGCCTAATGGCCCTTGCTTTAGCTTTCTATGCGTTTGCTTAAATGAGGGTATCGTTCGTTCCACAAATCTTAATAAAACCTTGTACATGCATGAGACACGTCATAATTATTATTATTTACAGATACAAATATGAAATGCAGCAAAGAGGGTCTGGGTGATCCTGGCACAAGTCAGGCTGGTTAGGCTTATCATCAGCTGCCCCGTCTACTTGCAGCCCAGACAGCGAATGGGACTTATCTCAGGAAGCGCTGCCTAGTCAAACCCACCGATTGTCAGAAGGGCTCTATTCTTTGTAGCAAACACGGGTACTCTCCCAATGTCAGTCAAAAGATTAGGAGGTACCAAACCTAGGGCACCGAGAACAATGGGGAGTCGGACAACTTGGTACTTGGGATGCAAGCGTCCGCATATGTTTCCTGAATCTTATCAATCACATCAGTGTCAATAGGGACAGAAAATGCAATGATAAAAATGAATTCATTGGATTTATCAAAAAGGATCAGGTTTGTTGGCCTGGATACGTCTCAGGCTGTAAATGGGCCTATTCCAAAGAATTTTGTATTTATCATTTTCCATGACGCCATCTACATATTCCAGGTCGTACCACGGGTGGACCTCTGTGTCAAAACCACAAGCATAGCGAAGACGGCAATGAATGGATAGAGCCACTCCATCATGTCGTTTAAGATACTGTGTTTGTGCCAAAGCTGGGCATTCACTGACAATGTGTTGGACAGTCTCATTAAATTCATTACATAATCTACATTTCATTTTTACATTTGGATGCAAAATCACACATTGACGGTTTCGAGTGGCAAGTGACTGGTCCTGAGCAGCGAACAGAAAGCCTGCAGTTTCACTTTTTAGGCCAGACGACTTCATCCAAGCGAACACTCTGCAGGATTGCTGATCTTCTCAACACACTGCACATACAATCGATGCAATGGTCGTTCAGAAAGCCTCTCTGGGCCGACTTGATATGGTACTTCGCTTGGTTGACATTCATTTTTGTACCGTCCAGCAGTACAGAACCATCAACAAAATCAACACCGACATTGAGATTATGTCCCACATCCTTGGCTCGTTTTAGAAAACTGTGGAATGCCTTGTTTTCTTCATTAGTCTTGACCTGCTTCACATGAGGATCATCAGACAAATAAATGTGTGCAAAAGTGCTCAAAACAATTCTATCGTTAATTTTTACAGATTAAAATAAAAAACGCAGCAAAGAGGGTTTGAGTGATCCTGGCACGGTCAGGCTGTCGTGGCTCATCATCACATCAGGGCCCTTGCCCCCGCTACACGCAGCCCAGACAGCGAATGGGACTTCTCCCAGGAAACGGTGCCGAGTCAAACCCATCCAGAACTTTTCGGAGAATGTGAAGACTCCCCAACACTGCAGCCTTCTGCATTACCCAGATTGTCAGAAGGACTGTATTCCTGGAAGCAAACACGGGTACTCTCCCAATGTGAGTCAACTGATTGGGAAGTACCAAACCTAAGGCACCGAGAACAATGGGGAGTCGGTCAAAGGGGTATTATTATTATTATTATTATTATTATTATTATTATTATTTTTATTTTTATTATTGGTTTTCCAGAGTGGCCCCTATATCTTCCAGCTCCTGGACTGGTATACAAGTGCTTTATCTGTCTTTCTGTTCTGCACACTGGAATGTGTTTCCGTGGTCTATATTTACGGTGAGCTTTATTCCAGATACATCGCACATTAGTCGCTTCATTTCAGTAGATATTAGGAGAGATCTAGGACATCACTTTTCAGTTTTATTTTCTTTTACTAAAGAAATAAGACCCTTCATGGTGACCAGCTGAAATAAATTCAGCACAACATATATGTACTTGCCATTTCATTTGGAGCAAGGCTTTATCTGCATTCAAATAAATCGCTGTGAACCCACTGTGCATTTTAACCGTAATGATAATATGATACTCCAGGTGTGAAGCAGATGAACAAGGATGTTGCGATGATGCTAGGGAAACCACTCCCTGTTGTCGTAAAGATCCTCTGGGCTTGTGTCATACCAGCAGTGCTCCTTGTAAGTTTTTGAAGGTTGCTGCAAGAAATTGTAAAATAATTTCTCACCTCTCCTTTACAAGCTTAACCAGAGTAAGGAACTTTGATGAGGGGCCTACATGATCTATACTGTTAAAAAAGCATTTTGGAATAATAAAATAATAATCTTTGAAGAAGCCTTGTTCATTTCAATACTTGCATGTTGGAACGTATAGCTTCATTGGACTTATTGGCTTTGTTCAGTGGTTTTCAGAAAGCCACTTTCTAATATGTTAATATGAACAACATTTTAAACAAGCTGATTTTCTTAAATACAATAGCGAAATATGTTAATATTGCGCATGAGGCTAATGAATGTTTCAGACTGCATTCATCCTGACTCTCCTACGCTACAAACCACCAACCTACGGCAAGTACAGCTACCCTGGCTATGCCATCGCCTTCGGCTGGTTCATCGCGTCGGTGTCCATCATCCCACTGCCAGTATACAGCATTCTGGCTGTGAAGAAGCACATGGCTTCACACACATTCACAGAGGTTAGTGTCAAGTTAGTGTCAAGTTCGTGTCCATGATTCCACTGCCAGAATACATCATTCTGGCTGTGAAGAAGCACATGGCTTCACACACATTCACAGAGGTGAGTGTCAAGTTAGTGTCAAGTTCGTGTCCATGATTCCGGTGCCAGAATACATCATTCTGACTGTGAAGAAGCACATGGCTTCACACACATTCACAGAGGTGAGTGTCAAGTTAGTGTCAAGTTCGTGTCCATGATTCCACTGCCAGAATACATCATTCTGGCTGTGAAGAAGCACATGTGCACACATATACAGAGGGACATGTCAAGCCTGTCTGCTGATAGCACTGTTGTTCACCATCTGCTGGAATGAGAAGCAATTCGAAGGAAGTGTGTGCCTACAAGTAAAGATTTTGCATGCGTTTTCAATATGCTACAGTCAGTATCATCACAGTAATCTATCACATAGGTCTTTACATAATTAAGTGTTAACTAAAACAGTGATTGGCGGTATGAGCAATGTTTATCGGATCTCGCCGCGCTTTCAGTCAGGTAAGGCAAAATGTCATAAAGAATTATGGCCTGCATGTTCAAGCCTAATGGAAATGCTGAGAGAGACGTAATGGGTTTGTTTAATATTTCAGAGTGTCCAAATGGCTCTCCGCCCGGGGGATGAGTGGCATCCTTCCGATCCCCTCTACAGGGAGGAGTACCGGGATAACCTTGTACACACAAGATATTCCTTAAAGAGTCACCTCACAAGTGTGTTTAGAAAGTAACATCAGTGATGAAACCATTGCAAGATGTATTCGTTAAAATCCTAGCAAACATGACATTGCAATACCTTTATCATCTGCAAACCTGATGTTAACAGCGTATATATGTAAGTTTCGCTATGTTTTCATTGTTTGCATCAATTGTTTCCACTGGATAGTTTCGTATCTTTATATTGTTATCCCCACAATTTGTATTTGTGTGCTTCAGATTATTATAGCCGCAATTATTGGTAACGTTTTGTTGGCTTTTACAAATATCTAAAACGTCTAACCAGAGAATAATCAGTGTCTATGGTCCGATGGAGGTTCCAATGGGCGTGAAAGGCAAAATAGCCGTGCATATAATATGAATGGACCACTGAACATCAGTGATAAGACGAGGTGTTCGCTAAAAGGGTAAGCATGTATTTATATTGGTGTTTGGGATCTTTTCCGCACCTAGACCACTGTCATGGTCAATACTATTGCATCATTGTTTATTGATAAATTACTGTAATGATGCAACTTGACATCAAGCTGGTTTATGACAACGATGATGTTTCTCGAAGTGAGAACGGGGAGCGGATGGTCGGTGTTTCAATACCCGGCTGCGTCAACCAAAATATGTTGAAAGGTGGTACTTGTTGTTGCCCTGCCTGACGCAAGGCATTAAGGGGCTCGGGGTCAGTATTTTATGTTTGTGTGGGGTATCCATATTAGGCTGCGGCATAGTATGTCATTCGCTAAGCCCTAGAAACTGGTATACGTCGAGACTAGAACGAGCAAGCACGCAAGCACGTACGCACTCACGCACGCACTCATGCACGCACGCACACATACACATACACGTCGCTATATACCTGCAGTAATCTTGAATGTGACGTTAAACCCCATTTCACCTCTCCTCACCTGGAATGAACCGTGAACTGTGTTTAACACTGATTTGAACAGTATGTCAGTTAACGGGTTGTCAGCTTAAAGTGGGATGAATGCCTCAAATAACGCCGGTCGTCGACGTTTAGCACTCAGGTTAAACCTACCTTAACGGGTCTGGTGCTGACAAGGATCATCTCCGACGCATCTACTATTCGTACCCACGATCACAAAGACCTCATGCCTTATGTGTGCATAAATAAATTGTTTATCTTTATATAATTTTCAAATTTAATGATATAGACACGTGTACCCTTATTGGTATAAAAACACTCATCTTTAATTTGTTTTCACTTGTAAGTTGAGGTACGTTTAGAATGTCTGCGGTGGTCATTTTAGTATTCCAGGACTAAAATCTTGAAAACACACCATTGTCATGTTGCGCTGTGTGTGGTAAATTCTAAGCACGAGATTTAGTAATCACTTAGCCTGACAATAACAATAAGTTTTCAAACTCTTGCACAATTTAAATAGCAGCGGCGTTCGTAACATGATCGTAACACAAACTTCCAGGGCAACATTATATTTGTTTGTTGTTTGTTGTTTGTTGATTGACACCTCAGTCAGCAATATTCCAGCGTTTTGACGGCGGCCTGTAAGATATTGATTCTGGACCCGACAAAACCAGTGATTGATATTATAAGCAACGTCCCACGCCATCTGACGATTACATTATTCAATCAAGTCATCGATCCAACGACAAGGTTTCTGTAGCTGCTTAATTATATTTGACAATAAAATGTTACAATGCATCTGTGAACGTTTGTGTTAAACCTTTAAGTGGCATTTCAGATGTCTGTAGCAACAAGGCGGTGCATAGCTACAGTATGGCATTCTAGTTAACTGTCTTCGCTCTTGTTGTGTTATCAAAATGTCGGCTCTCTTCAATAAAAGCAGTGCGTGCACGGGTGGCCCCATGTACCGTCATTCGCTCTGCAGAGTAACCACCCTCAGTCACCCCAGATCCCCTTGTCGGCGGTTCGAAACCCAGGTTCGCCGGGGTTAAAGTCCAACAGGGTATATCTAGCTGGTTCTGCCATTGAAGACAAACAGAACCCGGAGGTCAATGATGCCAGATTGGCAAATGAGCCACCGCCATTTTTTTCCGTGGTGAGGGTCCACTTGCACAAAGCGCTCTTAGCGCGTACCTTGTAGGTTAATCGAGAAAACACTCAAACTTATGCAAGAGAAAAGCCACTCTTGAATATCCGCCGAAACAGATTTGATTTTGATTTGATAAAGGGCAAAATAGCAGTGACCATTATGTGAATGAAACACTGAAATTCAGTGATGACACCAGGTGTTCGCGAAAAGGGTAAGCTTGCCCTGTTTTCCCGGAAGCACCCGCCATTCAAACAAATTTGCATAAAAAGGGTGGGTTGTTCATACACCAATGACGTTAAAAGATGGAACTGGTTGAACCCTGCCTGTCGCTTGAACAAGGACTAGGTGACTTGTTGTGTGCATCCAAGTCGTTACGTGCAATAATCTTAAACGCGATGTTAAACACCGTTTCACGTCATATCGTTACGTGTCCATTGCCAAATTGAAACAATATGTTAACCGTGAAATATGTAGGTAAAATAATGTTGTGTGAAACCAATAAAACAAACAACAAATGTATGACAAAATTCACTTCAATGGCAATCTGGAAAGCCAATACTAACTCAGTTAATGATTGACAAAATGCAGAGTTAATCCTAAACATTTACTGTGTGTGCTGATCATGATAGCTTGAGTCTTAGGTGGTGGCTCAATGGCGACTTGGCGACCCACGGGGTAAAGGTCCGACCCCTTTTGACGAGATATGATAACAGGGATAATGAGTGAGTGAGTGAGGGAGTGAGTGTCGTTTTACCCCGCAATATTTCACCAGAAATGGGTGGGCCTAACACATTGTTTTAATGTGGGGAATCGAACCGGTTCTTCTGCACGGCGGGTTAACAACGTTTAAATGAGAATTAAGCCTTGTATTCTGCCTTGATATGCGGCATCAACACGGTCAAATTTAGATCGAGAGAATGAAATACTAGTATATGAAAGTGTCGTACATCACATCATTTACATAATAACTACAAGTGAAATCTACTAACACTGTTCAAGGTGATGTCGAAATCACTCTTGAAGGCTACTGTACACTTCAAAACAATACATGTTACTATTTAAATTATATCATTATGAGACTACCACACATATATCAATATCAATATACGGTTGTACAACACTGAAGCGTACATACAATGTTTGTGCTCGCGAAGCTGTTTGGTAAGCTGTCTCTCGCTTATTATTGTGCAGACATGTCTTCTCGTTTTTGATAACGAACATTATCAGACAGAGGTGTCGAACTATTGCAGCGACGTTGAATAAGTGAAAACTATTAACCTAATGATAATCTAATGTATTTACACATGTTGGAACCAACCAAAATATCTGCAGGAGTTTGGAATGAATGAATTATTTAAAATAACACACGGAGGCTATCGAAAATACAATTACTATGATCCAATTGTAATTATTTCAGTAATGTCACCAAATCATGCTATGTTGCAGACTTGCCCCGTGAAGATGCGGGTTAGAATAGGTATTCAGCAACCCATGCGTGCCGTAAGAGGCGACTATGCTGGTTGTATTCCGCTGATCAGTCTTCAGCAACCCATGCGTGCCGTAAGAAGCGACTATGCTGGTTGTATTCCGCTGATAAGTCTTCAGCAACCCATGCGTGCCGTAAGAGGCGACTATGCTGGTTGTATTCCGCTGATAAGTCTTCAGCAACCCATGCGTGCCGTAAGAGGCGACTATGCTGGTTGTATTCCGCTGAAAAGTCTTCAGCAACCCATGCTTGCCGTAAGAGGCGACTATGCGTGCCGTAAGAGGCGACTATGCTGGTTGTATTCCGCTGATCAGTCTTCAGCAACCCATGCGTGCCGTAAGAGGCGACTATGCTGGTTGTATTCCGCTGAAAAGTCTTCAGCAACCCATGCGTGCCGTAAGAGGCGACTATGCGTGCCGTAAGAGGCGACTATGCCTGACGTGTTGTATTCCGCTGATAAGTCTTCAGCAATCCATGCGTGCCGTAAGAGGCGACTATGCTTGTCGTAAGAGGCGACTATGCTTGTCGTAAGAGGCGACTATGCTTGTCGTAAGAGGCGACTATGCTGGTTGTATTCCACTGTTCAGTCGTGTACGTATCTTCCGTTTAATGAAGGAGCGATCTTTCCAAGGTGAGATTAATTTGGGTCTAACGTCGCGTTCAAGATCATTAAACTTATACAGCGTCGTGCAAATATGATCCCTTTATATAGTTGACCTTTTATGCCCAGTGGACTCACTCACTCTCTCACTCACTCACTCACTCACTCACTCACCTTCTCACTCACTCCTCCCTCCCTCCCTCCTCACTCACTCACTCACTCACTCGCTGCCCCCCTCACTCACTCACTCACTTCACTCACTCACTCACCAAGTCAGTGATGTACAAATAAAAGCTACAAAAACATTTCCATAATCATAAGAAATCTCTTACCGAGTGTTCGCGAAAAGGTGAGCGTATCATCCCTCATCAGTGGAATCCGTCACAAACACATGTTTGTTGATAAAACTCTTTGACTTCATGTAATTTCCACAACAATAGATGTCACTATAATGTAATTCCTTCTATTAGAGGCTTAGAACTTTGAATCAACCTTCATGGTTCTGAAGCCAGCACCACATTACACGTTATGAGTATGCCATCACATTGTCTCTAGTGAACAACATAGACAAGAGTATCATCTTCAACAAACACCACTAACCTATGTCGTTCGTATTCAAGCATACAGTACAATCACCACCATATAAATCTATTGTACCGAGACCAGCATTGTCAGTTCTGCTACGCTCCCCAAACAATCACAACCACATACATCTATTGTACTGATTCAAGATGGAGAAATTTGTTCCAAGCGTTGAGGTTGCTTTGGTGTCCAAATAAGCTGGTGGATGCGCACACGTAATGTGTGGTCGAGGTGAGAGATTTTACATGCGTTTCAGTAGGTTGACCCGAGGGATTGTTGGACATAATAGAGCATGACCAAATACAACATCTGAACACTACCAGCACATGGCATTGGTTCCAGTGATATAATGGTGGTAAACGCTTTTACCAGAACGAGGTTTCCTCTTCAATGAACCTTGTGCAGTTAATCGAGAAAACACTCAAACTTATGCAAGAGAATAGCCACTCTTGAATATCCTCCGAAACAGATTTGATTTGGTGTAAAGGGCAAAATAGCAGTGACCATTATGTGAATGAAACACTGAAATTCAGTGATGACACCAGGTGTTCGCGAAAAGGGTAAGCTTGCCCTGTCCCCCCGGAAGCACCCGCCATTCAAACAAATTTGCATAAAAGGGTGGGTGGTTCATACACCAATGACG